CAGCATGCTGTGGCATGCACGAATGTGGACAGAAGATGGTTCCTTTGCGTCACTGGAAATGGAGAAGGGCATGACATGGGACCTGTGAGGATGTGCTGCTGGGCCAGAGCCTCTCTTGTCACTGCTGCCTTCCCTGGTCTGCTTTGCAGAGGCTACTAACAGTAGCCTGTTCCTCCTCCTCTTCATTTCTCCCAAAGCCAGCGCCAAGCACTTGGGATTGGGCTAGCAAATTTCCTGAGTGCACAGGGTGACACCAGGCAGAGTGCTTATCCTTCTTATGGGCATCCCCATCCCAATACATGTCTGGCCCCCGATCTGCTCTGCAGACAGCACTGGTGAGAAACCTGAGCGGCTCCCACACCCCTGAGAAGCACTGACCAGGGTGGCCCTGGTCCCCAAGGGACCAGGTTGAAGAACCCCTGCCGACCAGCTGCCCTGATGACACTTTTGCCCACATGAGCTGTCCCGGTGCCAAGCCCTGCTGTGGGGAGGCAGCCTGGAACTGTGCTGAACCATATGATTTGCTTCTCCCATAACCCAGCCCCAAGCACTCTGCACCAATTCCCTTCCAGTACACCACCCCCACCCCCATCCCCCATTGATTTCTTCTCCAGTACACCCATTAGTAGGTAAGATTTCCTTCCAGTAATGAGGGCTGCATCTTCTCCACATATATGTGTGCTTTGATTGAATTATGGCTAATGAGCTGGGAGCAGAGAGCCCTGGAAGGACCATTTGGGTCTGAGTTTGGATGAATCAGCTCAGCGTATGCCTGGGCCTGACCCCGCATGCAGCCACGTTTCCTGTCCCAGGCCACTGACTATAGCCTGACCTCTCTAAAAGACACATGGAGAGGCCACACTTGTCCCCATAGGGTCCCCCAGCCAGCACTGGGATTCCCACAGCATAGTCTGAGGAAATATTTCTTTCCCATGTCTCTGCAATGCACTGCCTGACTTCACACGTGCCGACAGCCATGGCCCTTGCAACCAGCCCCCAGAGGCAGCCTTCGAGGAGAGCATGTTTTCCCAACTTAGGCCTGACTAGGATGATTTACCACCATTCTGCCACACTGTTAAGTCTTACATGGAAACCTGCTCAAGTAGACGTACCTCCAGGCTGACCCGCATCCCTGCCCTGCCCGCAGCCACTGGGTCTCCGGTCCCACTAGGCTGGACTCCTGCATTTGGGATGCATTCTGTGGAATGACTCTCAATTTTTTTGAAATCCCATCTGCCTTGCTTCCCCCTCAAAACATCAGAAGATAAAATTCAACAGAGAAAGGATTCAAAGGAGAAAAGGGGTACAAAGCTTGCGGTAGAAGCAGATGACAGGAATATCAAAATATAGCAATGCTAAGAGCTGCTTGTTTTGCTGATGGAAAGGATGGGTTTAGAGTTCCCACATCTCTGTACAAAACCTTTATGCAATTCTGCCTGACTAACAGAAAAAAAAAAAAATCTGTAAGCAATCATTTGTATCTAATCTTACAAAAGAATCCAAGACCAACCTGCCACTTCTGCTTCAGACACAAAGTGCAATGCATCAGTGCATCTCCAGACTAACGAGACCACTAACAGATGCTCAGAAATAAACAGTACCTTTTTAAGCAAGTGGCTGGCAGTGCAGCAAGTCCCTTGCACATCTTGCTGCCGTGGCCGGTTCTGTATTCCAGGAAAAACAACAACGCTGGAGGCGGCAGAGACTGGGTGCGGGTCCCCCGTCGCCTGCAGAATTCAGCCTCGCCTCTGAGCCAGCTGCACTGCCTTGGCTCTGTTTTATAGCCCAGCCCAGACAGCCCAGCAGCACTGGGTGACCCAGTCAGGAGCCAGCACAGCAGCAGCACCCGTCCCCTTTTTGCCCACCCAAGAGGAAGAGGGTGACGTATAAGCCAAGACAAGGGCGTGAGTGGGATTGAAAACCTTACCAGAAATGAAGCTTGGTGTCTGGCTGCAGAGGTGGATTCTTTTAAAAGGGCGGAAAAAGCTTCAGGGGTTTTCCTCTATTGCAAAAGGTGGAAAGATGAAGATAAAAGCTGGAGATTTTCAGAGGGGCACAGACAATAAAAAGGGTCAGAGAATCAGTTCTGAGAAGTGAGATGAGCTTTGCTGGTTCTGTTAATTTTCTCCTTCTATTTAAAGCAACCTGGGGAAATCAAGGGACAAGAATTTTAAACACAAAAGGTTCCCATAATCCCAACAAATGCAGAAACCAGAGCTCTAAGGTAAAAAGAATGTAAATTCACCAGGGAACTATCCAGGCAGATGAGACTGTCCTGTGTTATTCTAGAGGCATGTGGAGATACGACTTTGGTGAGGCTGAACAAAAAGCATATCACTATTGGAATATGTGTGTGTCCCAACACACACATATTTGGGGACAGCTTATGAACACGTGTAGGAAAACAAAAGACAGGAGGCTGACAGCATGGCTGCCTTAGATATACGGGTATCACTGCAGTGCTCCACTTCTCCATTTGCATTTGTCCCTAATCAAAAGCCAGACCTTGGGACTCGGGAGTACCTGAGTCTCCAAGGCAAGATGATTAATTAACAATAGACACAACTGTGCCTTTTCAGAGAAGACTTTTTAGCAGCGCTAAGGCTACTCTGTGCCAAAGGATGAACCCATGAAACACCTGGCTGGGTGGATGTTTGGTGGTGACTACACTGCCTGGCTCTGCTGTAGTCCCAAGGGAGATCAGAATGACTCCAGCTACACCGCTTGTCCTCAGCCCTTGGAGGGTGCAGAAGGCAGTTGCCCCTCTGGAGAGAGAATTGGCTGATACTTAATTGAGCCGCGGCTCAGCACAGCCTGTACCATCATTATAAAAGAGGGGAAAGCTTTGGGCAGACGGATATGCATATGATCTGCTGCACTTCAAGTATTGCTCCCACTGTGAAATAAAGAAGCTTCAGTTCAGCAGCAGGCTGTCTGCCCACACTACCCACTGCTGCGCTCCCTCTCCCCAGAAACTTTTAAATACTTTGCCCATGACCTGCAGAATTTGCAGGGTGAGCTTTTCCCTCCTCTGTCTCTACAGCCTACAGCCAGCAGCACAGACAAGCCAAATACCAGCCTAGTTTACCTGCCTTGGCATACTGCATCCTATCAGATCATTAACTGTGCTGAAAAGCAATACTCTAACTAACTTTAAAATGCTTTTGTATGAATGTGACTATCCTGACACCAAACCTGAGGCAACATGCTTAAAAATCCTGCACTATTTGGACCAAAAATCAGTTCCAGCTCAGGGCAGTGTAAAACTTTAACTGAGTGAATCCCCATGTGGTTTTAGCATTGGTGAGCTGACAGCCCTTGGGTGAATTTGAAGGTAGTGATTGAACACAGGCAGAGATGGTTGCAAAGCTCTCTGATGTCTTGTTTGGGGTGGAGAGGAGCTAAAGGGCAGAATATGGCCAATGAGAAAAACCTTAAATAATTAATTAATTGCTAAATATTTAATTTCATTAATTTAATTTTAAATCCTAAATCTGTGCAATGTTACTGCAGTTCATGTGCAACTGCATCACAGTCACTCAAGCAATTCAGGAGCTCAGCTGGCCAACCTGGTCAAGGTGTCTGCAAACTCTAACCTTGACCCTAACCTTGTCAGGCAGAGCCTTATCTCCTGGCTCAGGAAGCTCCTAGAGGCTCCTTGCTTGGGCAGGAGACCTCGGTGCAGAACACAGAAATTCTGCAGTTTCTTTGCACATTGAGGTGTAACCAGATTTAGGAATGTCACACTTCTCTGTGGGTTGTAAGCACATGCGCTGCATGGCTCTAATGACACTTGAATCCTGTGTTGTCAACATGTCACCTTGTGCATTCCCCAACTTCTGTGTGAGAAGACTGTAGTAAGAAATTTCTAACACTGACATCACAATAAAGGCCATCACCCCAAGGGGCTTTGCAATTAAGACCATCCACCCTGGACTGGGTATGCAGGCTCCCAAGACTACTGCAGCTGAAATTTCCCTTTTTCCAGTTCATTAACACAGACTGCTTCAGTCTGGCCCCTGTGCAAGGAGTTTGGGTTTGTATACCATTTGTCCTCTAAGCTGTGTTTCCCAGCTGTTGCAGTTTAATACACTCCTAGCTGCTCCAGCTGGTCTCCAAACAGAAGTACCCTCTTCCATCTCTTACCCTTCATAGTCAGGCCTCTTCCCCCAGGGCACAGACCATGCTGTGCTCAACACCAAAATCTCCTCCATGCCAGTTAGAGAAGCAGGAGCTCATGCCACTTTTTATGCCTGTCACGCCAGCTCTGGCTCGCTTCACCTGCAGCATAGAGAAATCAGCAGTGGGGATGGGCTGGGGGTGCAAAGCTGGAGGTGGGGGCTCCCTGGCCAAGACATCTCTTGGCCGTGGGGTGCTTTGAAGCCCAGGGGCTCACAGGAGACAGCATGATAGTAAATGTCTGCAGTTCTCATTGTGGCATCCCTCATCCCCCACCCACTCATCCTTACTGCATCCGCCACCCTGCCTCCTTGAGCAGCTAGAGACAAGGCTCTGAAATGGAGCTTTCTCTCCTACCATCACTTCTAGGGAAAAACGTCACATGCACACGTGCTCGGCCCCGTACACAAGTGCGTGTGGGCTGTGTCCCTCGGTTCAGCTGCAGCCAAGCAGCAGGCCGTGGGAGGAAGCAGGGAGCACAGGGAACGCTGCTCCGGTGGTCATTGCCCACAGCTGAGCTACTACAGGCTGTTGTCCTGACAGCGCAGGGCGCTCCTGCTTCAGTCCCTTCCCATCTCAGAGCAGCATGCTGTGGCATGCACGAATGTGGACAGAAGATGGTTCCTTTGCGTCACTGGAAATGGAGAAGGGCATGACATGGGACCTGTGAGGATGTGCTGCTGGGCCAGAGCCTCTCTTGTCACTGCTGCCTTCCCTGGTCTGCTTTGCAGAGGCTACTAACAGTAGCCTGTTCCTCCTCCTCTTCATTTCTCCCAAAGCCAGCGCCAAGCACTTGGGATTGGGCTAGCAAATTTCCTGAGTGCACAGGGTGACACCAGGCAGAGTGCTTATCCTTCTTATGGGCATCCCCATCCCAATACATGTCTGGCCCCCGATCTGCTCTGCAGACAGCACTGGTGAGAAACCTGAGCGGCTCCCACACCCCTGAGAAGCACTGACCAGGGTGGCCCTGGTCCCCAAGGGACCAGGTTGAAGAACCCCTGCCGACCAGCTGCCCTGATGACACTTTTGCCCACATGAGCTGTCCCGGTGCCAAGCCCTGCTGTGGGGAGGCAGCCTGGAACTGTGCTGAACCATATGATTTGCTTCTCCCATAACCCAGCCCCAAGCACTCTGCACCAATTCCCTTCCAGTACACCACCCCCACCCCCATCCCCCATTGATTTCTTCTCCAGTACACCCATTAGTAGGTAAGATTTCCTTCCAGTAATGAGGGCTGCATCTTCTCCACATATATGTGTGCTTTGATTGAATTATGGCTAATGAGCTGGGAGCAGAGAGCCCTGGAAGGACCATTTGGGTCTGAGTTTGGATGAATCAGCTCAGCGTATGCCTGGGCCTGACCCCGCATGCAGCCACGTTTCCTGTCCCAGGCCACTGACTATGGCCTGACCTCTCTAAAAGACACATGGAGAGGCCACACTTGTCCCCATAGGGTCCCCCAGCCAGCACTGGGATTCCCACAGCATAGTCTGAGGAAATATTTCTTTCCCATGTCTCTGCAATGCACTGCCTGACTTCACACGTGCCGACAGCCATGGCCCTTGCAACCAGCCCCCAGAGGCTGCCTTCGAGGAGAGCATGTTTTCCCAACTTAGGCCTGACTAGGATGATTCACCACCATTCTGCCACACTGTTAAGTCTTACATGGAAACCTGCTCAAGTAGACGTACCTCCAGGCTGACCCAGCCACCCTTCTGCTTCTCTTGGACGGGACAAAGATGAAATATTAAAGGCAAAGCAGCTTTGGTTTGTTGTCATAGTTTCTTGTTGAGCATGCTCCTCACTGAAGTGATGCTCTGTAAATTCAGCACGTTCCTTACCCCAACTTCATACAATTCATACAACCAAACATACAACTCATACAATTTTTCCATGTTCTCTGTTTTTTTCTATTTATACATGCACCTACAACATAAGTGGATTTTTGTAATTTCTAAGTGCTTGGAAGTTCCCAATAATTTGGGGGGGTTTGGCTGGGTTTTTCTTTGCTTCAACTCTCAGTTTTTTGGGTTGCCCACCTTTCCTGTTAGTACACCAGAAGAAAATACTTAATCTTGTATCAAAGAAAGAATTTTGTTCAGCCCAAATGGATTTCTTTTTCTCCTGGTATGGGTTTGCTAATGAAATAAGTGGAGATTTTTTGTCTGGCTGCTGGTTTTGTTTGGGGGCATCAGGCAACAGAAAAAGCTATAATTTGAGTAATTTGCCTTCCAGTTTCCCAAATCTCTGTCCCATCATCCATCTTGATTAACAGTCCCTTAAACAGTTCGTCCTAATCACTAAGAAAGTTTTGAATAACACTGGACCACAAACCAAGCTAATATAAGCCTGTTCACTGATGCTTTCCCAACACTAAAAACACTTTGAAATGTCTCATTTAGCCACTTTTAGTTCATTTAATATGGATTTTATGACATCTTAAGCCAAATATTGATAGCAAGTCATATTCATTTATAAATCTATTTCACCACCACAACTCCCTCATAAAAGCACTATTAAGCTCATTAGAAAAGGTCTATTTTTCCATTAAATCACATCAACTGGTATCAATTATACCACCACCTTTTCAAATCAGCCTGCTATCATCCATACTAAGAGTG